AGTTAGAAATTCATAAAAATGTTTTTTTATTATTTAAAATATAAATATTCTACAAAAAGTTTTTATAAGTTTTTCAACTTGTATAAAAAAAAAAAAATTACCTGAAAATGAAATCAATTTTTTTTGAACATTTGAAGTTGTTCATAGTTTTATTTTTTATGATATTGTATATTTACCCTAAAATAACTATATGTCCTTCAAATGATACTTGTTTTTTTTTGTGTAACTGGAAAACAAATAACCATAGATATTTGACATTTTCACTAAATGTTTATTTAATCATTTTCTGTATATGAATATAATTTTTTTAAATATTTTGATTTAAATTTTAAATAGTCATAACAGTTTTTGCTCGGTTAAAAAGCTCTACAATTTAATAAAAAATGCTCCATAAGTTGTACTCATAGATATAAAAAAAAATCTGCACAATTTATTTTCATTAGTGTTTTAATTTTTAAGTACAAATTTGATAAACATTTTTTGCATTCGAAAATTTATTTAAATATTCAATTTTTATTGCTAAGGTTTGAAACTTTAACAAAAAGTTCCTCATAAGCATTTCATACTAAAACTAAAAATTTAAAAACTTATTTAACACAATAATTTTTTAAAGACATTTTAAGTTGAAATTTGGACAAAATCACATGTAAAAATTATAAATTAAATTGTTGATATTTTTGTTTAAGTTCATTTAGTTGGAACATAATTTAACATTTTTCAATAGATACCTTTGAAGGGCATATACTCGTACTATAATTCATATTTAATGTTTAAATAAATAGATTTATTATTGATAAATTGTTTGATGATAAAAATGGAGTATCATCTATTTCACGACAATATTTTTAAATGCAATAGGCAAAAAAAGTATTTTATTTATTAATCTCTAAAAAATTACTTCAACTTACACCACTAAATTTCATTCATCAATAGTTGTGGGCTGTATAATTACATTTATAATACGTTCCCCTTTTCACAGAATATGTATTCGTCGCATCAACAGATGTCAATTTTTCTTGTGAAACTGAAAAATTTTGACATTTTATGTATTGTACATACCATAATATATTTAGACTATACAATATTATAGATAATATACATAGAGAGCTTTGTTTGTTTCTATTATATAATAAAGTCTTGCATTTTTTTTTCAGTTTCTTATAATTTTCACAGAAATCAAAAAATCTGTATAGTATATGTATACACTATACAGGGATATAAATGATTGTTTCTTTCTTTGTCCCTGTATATTTAAAAACAACTGGACCGTTTTTATTAAAAGTTGTATCAATAGATTTCTCGAGACTCGAGAATGGTTTATGCCATTTGTGGCTTCGTTATTCGACACATAGTTCGCTATAGAGTGACTCATGCATTAACATTGTTTCAACTTAAACGAAAATTGAATATTTTTTGTTTATATATATATAAGGTTGCCATTGGTTATAGATTATAAAATAGTTAATATGATCGGATATTATTTTTTAAATTGTATTATATTTTGTCATTTAAGTTATCAAAACTACCCATATTTATTTAAAAGAGCAGCCCTTTTTTATGTTACCGTTTTGTGACGATACTATTTAACATTTTTCTAATTTTTTTTCTCAGAATTCTACAAAATATCTTCCTGAGTGTCATCACGTTGCCTGATTTTCATTTTCTTTTTCTGGGGGGAGGGGGAGAGAGGTATTGTGTTTTCATTGTTTTCATTTTTTGACGACACTATTTAACATTTTCCAATTTTTTTTCACTGAGTTGTACCAAATACTTCTACGAGTGATCATTATATATTTTTTTTATTTATATTTCAACTATTACTACTAGCACTTGATAAAATTAAGTAAAATTTTGAGAAAGCATAAACTATACATATGGGTGAAGCCGGGTAATTCAGCTAGTACTATATGAAAGTAAAATTGAGTCATAGTTATTATTTATAAAAAAAAGTGTATGGTTGAAGTTATATACTAAAAAAATCGTCAGTTGATTTTGACAAAAAATAATTAATAATATTTCAACTGAAGTAAAATAGAAAGATAAATAAATTGATTAAAATAGATAGTTAGTTAGTACGTATATTATGAGTATAATTATATATTATTGAAACATAAACAAATCCACAGTAATCCATCTAACCTAACCTTGGCGCATGTATTATTTGAGATTCGGCTGGTTAGTAAAAGTATTAAATTAGAAGTTATGAGTAACATTTATTATGTATAAAATACAGTAAATGGCTGAAGACTATAGAATCAAAACAAAAAAATACTCTATACCGATTTTGACGATTCGAGAAAAGTTCAACTAGTTATTTTGCAGAGGTGGCTTACTAGATATTAATAATATTAAAATCATAACCGCATATTTATTTATTTATTTTTATTTGATTTTATATGATTACACATAAGAAAATTACTGAGAATATTACCTACTATATAACAGAGGTTTCATCTCAAAATGGTAAATAATTAAGAAAATACAGTAAATTATGAGTATTGAATAACAATAACAATTTTAGACTAGGCATTTGAATGGATGTAAATAAATAATAAAAAAAAAACAATATAGAGAGATCGGTGAGCGAAGCAAATAGAAATAGAACGTGAAGTCTTCGCTCTAATATACACTGTATATATGATATATTATATAGTTGTTTTAGGAAATTCGTTTTTTTCTCTTACACCGTTTCGTCAAATTTGGGTTGGCCCTTAGCCACGCTACAAACGCCACCAACACCACTCGCCCTACAATAATGATAATAGGTACGAGTGACGATGCCGGATGACTGCAGTATTATAATGAAAATATTGTAGTAAAACAATATAGGTAGTATTATACAGCGCGTGGTATTATATTTTAAACGGCGGCCGATTGTTGTTCGCCGTCTGCAGCAATAACGGGGGCCTGATTTGATTCCGGTTCACTAGATTATAATATTGTGGACGAGCACCACACCACACTGCTCTTGCACGCACGACGCGTCGCGCAGTGTTATTAACAAACAAAACAAACAATAAACACATAATTCACAAACGACTCGTGATGCGATGACGATAACGCCGCGCATCGTGTCTCCTCGCTCGACAATAATGAGCACCATCGTCGACATCGGCGCTAATTGTTTTTTAATTACCTAACGTGTGCTCCGCCGTGTCTCCGTGTAAAATATACGTTAGCGCGACGCAGTTCGACACGCCGCCAATATTATTTTAATATACAGCGCGTGTTGGAGCGAATAGCCCAAGTGTTTTGAGTGATCTCGATTACCCCCTCCCTCTTCGTGATATAGATTTTAAAAAAAGTGGTAACAGTGGTATTATTGATGACGTACAAATTATTTTTTTTTACATATCTATTGTATAACAGATTGTATCAGTTATTACTTATTATGCAAACGTATCCGTGATGAAATATTACATGTTGCGCCCCATGCTAGTCGGAATAAATGTAATTATTATCTTACTACATATTTTACAGGAATAAACAACAATTATTATCCTTGATATTTATTTATATAATATATATATATATATACATACATCATTTATATCATGAATACCTACTGTATCTACTAGAAGAAAAAAAACAACAGTATTTTTAATCATTTTTTCAGGTTTAATTTAAAAATGTTAGAAAAAAATCATATTTACTTATTAAGTAGTATTTACTTGATTTGAAAATACCAGGAATAGTTTTTTCATACCACCATTTTCTGTTTATGCCAACGTGTTTTGATGTAAATACATCGTAACATGATATTTTATCATATTATTATACGTTATACGTTATGTGTACGTTGTACCTATCACACTATAGTATAATATAGTATATTATATGTATAAATACCTATATATTTATTTATACGCATATTACAGTGTACACAATGGCGGAAAAGTAGTTATATTATTTATCGATTTGATTACATTAACAATTAACGGTGGCCCTATATAGTTAATGTATGACATGTCCGCGAAATCGAGTGCGAGAGTTTAAAACGGTTTAACCGAGCTAAATTTATGATACATTCGTTTAATATGTATAACGTTTAACGACGAAACGGCATACACACACACGCAAAGCACTAACGTACGTATATATGCATAATTATTTACGGTTTATGCAAAGTAATTTATATAAGTAACGGTCATTTATAATACGGTGCAGTTACGGGGAATAATACCGTTTATTATGGTATCGGTGAAGTGTAGTACGGCAACAATAACAGCAGCAGCAGCAGCAGCAGCAGCGGCGGCGGCGGCAGTGGCAGTTGTAGAGTGTAATATAGTGTATTACATAATATTATTATGTAGTTTATTTCACGACTATAATAATATAATATAATATAATATTGTAGCGGTTAAGGTTTCGGGCCGGAGGAGCTATATAATATTATTATCGCTCACGCGCGGCAGTAAGTAATAATATTCTGTCCGAAAGCCAAGACTCGCTTCGCCACCGCCGTCGCTGCCGCGCGCGCTGCGTTAGACCTGCTTCACCCGTACACAATAATGTTATTGTACACAGATAATTTATATATATATATTCGTCTTTCGGTCATAACGCCGCGGATATCGCATAAGACGTGAACGGCGATCGTTTTTCGATAAATCTCGCGGGGCGGTGCGGCCGCGGTCGTGCGACGCGGCTATATATCGTCGTTATTGTGTTGTTAACATTGTCTGTTGTCGCGTCGCCGGCCCGCGATCGTTCTTCGGCGGAGATTAACTCGCGACGGACGTTGCACCTGCAGCGTTTGCGGGACCGGACCGGACCGCGGGCGAGCGATCGGCACCGGAAGAGCGTCGCGCCGACGACCACCGCGGCCGTTACGTTTCCACCGCCGCCGCCAGCCGAAGCGCCCCCGTTCGCGGCGCTGGGTACGCCGTCGACTGGCGGCGGTGCGCGCGTGTTGCCGTCGCCCGGCGGGCGGGGGGTAGGCGGCAACATCGGTTCGGTTGTGTGCGTCCGTCGTGGTGTCGTCGTCAGTTCCCTCCAATCGTCGGTCCGCCGAGTCGTCCTTACACGGGGTGCTCGCTGCCGCCTCGGCCCTGCAGCGCACGCCGTCTCGTCTCCACGACTTATAATAATACGTTTAGCGCCTGGCACACGTTATTGTGAATGATAACGCTTTACTATTATGACCGTCTCGGCTACTGGTTTATAATATCATCGTCATCGTAATGATTTGCACGACATTATAGTATAATGTAATGTACCTACTGTATTATAATAATTATTATCACTGCTATATTGTTGTTGTCGTATAATTTTATTATTAAATCATCACACGCGAGATCGATTAAGACCTTTATATTTTCTCTGCGGAATTCAACGACTTAACACAAAAATATATACCTACGTCACACACGATGTTTAAATCGTAACGTATATGATACGTGTATGATATTATTACGCTGTAACAGTGTACCCCCGAGATTGAAATTTAATCGAACAATTTTGTGATTTCCGTCATTTCTCGACATTTTGATAAAAAAAAGTCCAATGTCGTTTTAGATTTTCCCGCGGAACGTGGCAATGACGACGACCGAGCTGGCGGATGACAGTGTCGAGAGATCGCGCGAGCTAGACGTCGATGATGGATCGCACACCAGTCGAGGTTAAAGTGAGTAATATATTTTTATTTTAAAGTATCATAATTTTATCCATACAACTATATTATTATTATATTTACCGTACGTATAATTAAGGTATTATTATTTATTTATAATTAAGTCATATAGTATTAATATACGCAATTGATTATCTAAATGTGCGTATTTATAAACAAAATAAAGTTTCTTTGCCTTAAATATTTTTAAATTTAGTAATGTGTGTAAACCGTTACATCGTTAACAGCGACGTTTACTGCCGGCCCGCAAAGACTTTCTTCGCCGGCTAACTATCGCTACGTGTTGTACCTTATATTATACACTTACACGTAAAAAATAATAATAATAAAAACTTTTTTTTATTATTATTTTTCTTTTAAACTTTTTTTTCCTCTTTTATTTCTTTACTATTACTATTATCGTTGGAAAGACGGAAACACGCAGTAGAGATTCGCACTTGTTATTATTACTACTGTATTTCCCGCTGCATCTCCTAGCGTTTATATGTGTAAGTGTGTGTGTGTGTGTGTGTATAAATAGATATATATATATATATATAATATAAGCACACGCTCCCACAAAAAGAAAAAAAGAGAGAAAGAAATAAAAATCAAAAGTTAAATAAATAAAAGGAGGCTAGCGACGTATTCGTATTACAGCTACTATATTATTCTCTTTTGTAGTATTCCCGGTCTTGACATCGTAACGTCCGGGACGTGGCTATTACTAGCTACCTTATAATAAAATAACAGTGGAGGAGGTCAATATAATATTTTATTTGTGATAGTATAAATAAATACCTAGTAACAACGTCAGCCCCCATAGACAATATTATAATAGTTATAAATTTATAATATTTGAATACCATAATTTAACTTTCCGCGTTCCGTCTCTTGAACATTTTTAACGGTGGTCTGCTATAACATAATGACACAGTATAATTTTTTATTATTATTATCAATGTTAATCGGTATAATACATGTATAGAACGAATTAGATTTACTACGTTAATATATTTTATTCTCGAAATTATATATACCTTCATTATATATAAATTTGAAAATGAAAATCTTTGTCACGCATGTTATCTGAACTACTCATCCAATTATCTTTATTATTTTTTTTAATGAAATAATATATTTTTAAGTTAATTTTAAGTCTATTTTTGATTCTATAAGTTAATAAAAAAATCGAGTTATTAATTTTTTAAATAATCAGTAAATACGCAAATAAAGTTTTTTTTTCATCTATGTTACCAATTATTATACTGCAGTATAACAATACATAACTTTTTCGTTGTTTTTGGTTTAAACTGTTGAAACTTTATGAGTTGTTGATTTTTGATCCAGAATGAAAAGGAAATAAAATTTGGGTTATAAAAAAAAAAGTAAATAAATAAATAAATAAAAGAAAGAAAAATAATTTAATAAAAATTCTGCTGTTCAATGGCCAAAAAAGAGCAACTTTGGGGGACACCTATGTAAAGTTAATATGTGGGAAAAATCATCTATACTCCAAATCAAAAAAAACCAAAAATATTATTTTCCACACGCGTAATACTAAATTTAGCATTAGGTAACCAAATTTAACACCGATGCATTTTGTACGAGCAACGAAGTGTACGGGGATAACTTGTGCCATATAAATGCAAAACTTGACGACACGAGAAAAATATTAAATTGCTTGAAATAATAATCCTTTATATTTTTTGAGGGAATAAAGTTTTTTATGAAATAAGTATAATTGTATTGTTCAGTATACAAATTCACTAAGTCGGTTAATAAGAAATAAATTGTTTGAATATTAGGAGTTAAATTACATTTTTTTTATTACAACAGCAATGTTTTAAATTTTTTTTGTTAATAATGTTATTCATTTATTAAACAATGTGAATATACACATAAATTAAAATATATTTTGTTAAAGCGACCATTTTATGTCATACAAATGTAAATCTTCATTGAAATGTAATAACAGTTATAACTAGCAATGATTTTTTATAGTGATAGTTAACATTTAATTTTGTTATTCTTTTCATTTTTTTTTTTTTTTAACGCATATAATAGTATAAAATAAGATAAAATATGTTTTAAGGAATGAATACGTGCATGGTAAGCCGGTTAAGTAATAAAATAACAATTTGTTTAGAAACAAGAATAAATAGGATATTTTTTGTTCAGACCAATTTTATATATACATTCTGATATTTTAATTTCTACAACATATGTGTCCCTTTTTTGGTTAAAAATTTACGATCCTATTTTATTTTCCATTATTTTGTCAAATTTTCACTTTTTTTGTTAAATTGTAAAATAATTAAGTATAACGTTATTGTTTATATTTGTGTTATGTTATATATTTTGAATTATTTTTATTACTTATACTTATATATTATACACATGTAGTAGGTTATTGATATATCAATATTAGTAGTTAAAATAATTAGTAAACTTTTATATTACAAAATATATTTGTTTTGTTTAAAACTCGGATATATTACATTCTGGACCTGGAGTTCAATCATTAATAATATTATAATACTAGAATAACATAAAATAGTTATAATTATATTTTTTTTTTTTTTTTTTTAATTCTAGTTAAGAATTTTATTACATTTTAGATTATAAGCGCATAGATAAAAAATTATATCTAATTTGTATTTTAAAGAAGTCAAGACATAAAAATTCCTAAAACTTTGGAAAATCAGGGAAAACAAGCATTTTTGAACAAAATTAATATTCCAAAAAATTGATTTTTTTTCCCTAAATATTTATTAAAAATTAAACATTTAACGCTTAATTTAACATAAGTTAAAAATATTAAATATAGGCACATTTATATATTTATATATACTTATTTATAGTTCGAATTTTGATGGGATTCATCAAAATCGCCAAAACTTGAAAACTATTTTGTAGTTAGAAATGTATAAAAATGTTTTCTCATATCTAAGATTTGAAAACTTAATTCAAGATTATACTAAATATTCAATATTAAAACCAAACAATTAAAAAAATTAATTATTTTTATGTGTATCTAAAATTAAAATTTACACGAAATTACATGTTTCAACAAAGAATAGCAATGTTAGATACGTATTTTGTTACAATTCAAAATATTCGTGCAGAATATTTACGTATGTAATGAATGTAACTATATCCCAATAATATTTTTAAAATAAGTAAATTATTTTTAAGATATTTCCTATTTATACCATGAAACTATTTACACATTTTTACGGTAAGATGGTATTGATTCAATGGTTAATAATAATAGTATAATATGATATAAATCATATTTAATATTATTGTAATGTAATAAATGCAATATTTTTAACAAAAATTAAATTAATTTACTATAATACTAATTGTAAAATAAATACTTTTAAAACAATGTTAAAAAAAAACATTTCATGAAATTTGTTTAATGACAAGCTAGGAGACCGTCACCATTCAGAATCATTTTTCGTATATAATGATACATCATTTAATTTAACAAACCCTAAATAGCGATCTATTCTACACCTAATGTACAGCAGAGTGGTATCCCCTTGTTTATCTTTTTAAAATCAAATATATTCCAATACATTTGTACATTGAACTATTTCTTATTGTGTAATAGTACACTTGTATAAAAATATCGATTTTATTCAAAATTTTAAGGTGTGATTACTTATTTATTATAAATAGTTAATATTTTTTTTTATTATTAGATATTTATCAAATTTATATATATATATTAACTGAATAATAAATAACCAAATTTGTCGTACTTCACAGCCACCTACAGCATATATATTAATATATTATATACGTGTATAAATGTTTGTTTAGTAAGAAACAAGTTTTACAATTAATATAGGTACTGGTTTGTTATAGTCCCGCCCGAGCGAATGAAAACTTTATAGCCCCGCCACTCAGGCTTGTTATCTCCCCGCCATCCATAGTAATAAATACATTGTATAAATATAAAATAACGAGTTTATTTAATGATATGATATTAATTAAAAATACTTAGGCTTATTTTTAAATATTTATCACATACTTATTTATATATCATCATGTATTGACAATCTGAAGATAACATGAGGACTTGTTTTGAACAGACGCTAATTTTTATTTTAAATTTAAACGGTAGATAAAAAATAAATTATATGAGTACAGTTTAGAGTTTAGTTTACACTAAAAAGTGGTCAATTTTTAGTTTAAAGGAAAGCTCGATTAAATTTATTAATTGTTCATTTGTTTATGTGTATTTGCTATTTTTACCAGTACTAATTTAAAATTAAAAAATAAGCATTAAGTACAATCTGAAATCAATAGTCATGGTGTAGCATTAAGCTTTCCTAATTTTTTAATTTTTCCCGAGCTTAAACAAATAAAAATAAAAGAATAATAACATAAATTATTATAAAATCAATATTAACGATCATAGCATACAAAGATATAATGTACATTATATTATATAACCAATACGGAGATAGTTAATAAGTAATTTAAAATAACTTAAAATTATTTTATTCATATTGGACAATGTCATGTTATGTTCTATACTTCTGTAATTGTTTAGTTTAATCTAAAAAATACAAATTATCTTAATCATAAAGTGTAATCGTTAATAGAGTAGCATGTCAAAATTTAAATTTAATTGGTTAAAATAATTTATCACAAGGCACAGAAATTATAATATAACGCCTTATTATCGTATTGAGCTCCCAATTCTCAATTTTTATTTTTTTAATAATAACACTGTATCTTGGTATAAATATCTATGTATATTAACTTTGTGTAAGACTATCAGTTTTTATAACACAAGTTGCGGGTATTAGATACTAGTATTAACTATTTTCTAAAAAATCGAAAAATATAATAAAGCCATGTGTTCGGACTTAGGCACGAGAAGAAAAACTTTTTCACTCGAATAACTGTTATTCGGCGTTAATGTTACCTTCACGGTCCCATTGCTTGTATTCCTCTTTCTGCTTTACTTTTCACCACACCCCCTAACTATATAAGACCTACTATGCTACTGCTACTATGTTTACGATTATTATTTTACTGCCGTCCCTGTACTGTTGTTAGTACTTTTTTTACTACTGCCGTCATTGTTATTATTATATTATGGCTTTTTGCTTTGCCACCGTAAACTCTCCCTTCAATTCAGTTTTGGTGAACGTCCAAAGAAGTATACACATTTAACATTTATACATATATACACAATATCAACAGATTACTTTTATTCTAACATTTCTATTATTAATTTTATTTTTCTTACCTAAATCAATTATTATTAATATCATAATTATTAATTAAACATTAATAATTAAGCCGAAAAAAATATCATACTAATTCATAAATTTATATTGACATACGCATAACATGTCGATTTCGGTATAAAGTTATATGGATTTAGTAAAGTCATAATATGTCTGTTACATAGTAGCATAATATAACGATAATAATTACGAGTATCAACCGCATAATCCACAACGCGCGCATATACTCTCAAGGGACCATCACTAATATTATTTACCTTATTTTATAGTTGTTGTTATTATATACATTAATGCATTAAATACAATAGCAGAGTCAGCGGATGGGGAGAAAACCAGCTCGCGTGGTAGTGGAATTTTGGTGGTATCATACATAGTACCTGTATATGCGAAGTAGCGACCACAGTAACGAATATAATAATAAAAGTAATCCTACGCAATGCTGTCTGGAAGATAAAATTTGGGAAGGTGAAAACGCACAAAATTACGTTGTTTAGGAGTTTAAAATATACGTTAGCTGAATTTACTTATAACCAGTCACGCTCAATCGAACAACATGTTAATATTACGTCTGCCAGAGTTAATATTTTATTAATATAATAAACTCTGCGAATATAGACAACTTATACAGATTAGGTGTAATTTATTTTTTTTACCAATGATAGAATAATTTATAAATAAATTAAAATAATAAACAATATAGTTTTTGTATTTATATATTTTATCAAAACATTTAAAAGAAAATATAAATATAATTAATTGTCATTTAAAACGTGTAGATATTATAATCATTATCAAATTTCAAATAGTTATTATCTGTACATCGTAATTTCGAACAAAAAAAACCTCGCTGCAACAACACAATTGATTTTTGGGAACTATAATAACTATAACTACTATTATTCTACACGACTACACCTACGTATATTATTAATTATTACATAAAATATATAAAATATCTATAAAAGTAGTGTAGTTTACAGTAATGTGATGTGATGGTGTATTATTTATATTGATAAAATATGTTGTCATAACGTATATTGTATCATAGGTACTCTCATTACAACAAATAATATTTAGTCGTGCATCTCTTCAGTATAGTAAATTATAAATTGTTGTATTTTTGTATACAAAATATTTAGTATATACAAGCGCATAGTATAGGCTCAAAACATATTTATTTAGTTAAGTGTATTTTATATCTATATACGAGTATTTGAATAAAAAATTATTATAGTTGAAGGTTAAAATTTTTTGCATTATTGTGTATATGGTTTTAAGCCTCGTTAGATGTTTTTAATGAACCACATGAATAAGTGTAAATAATTATTATATTAACTACAATTAATTTATATTGTATTCTAACAATGATAATGATAGGAGTTATAAGTAGTTTATTTTTTATTTTAGTAAAAAAACTTAAAATTTACCAATTCATTTTTATTATTAAATTATTAAATGTATATAAATAAATAGTAAAATATAAAAAAAAATGTCGAATCTCTGTAACTTTGTTAAAGTTGGAATATATTTTTATATATTGTAAATACTTAAAATAAATTCATAATAATTTCCCGGTAAGTTTGATTAGTTTTTATAAAACAATGTTAAATTTTCTATTTTATAAATTTCAGAACAATTTTATTAGGAACTTTTAATGAAAAATTATGAGATAAGAAAATTTTATATTCTTTCATACAATGTGTTTACGAATACGATATATTTAACAACCTGATAGAAAATATATAGGGAAGTACATACAAAGTGTTTTTTGTAAGTTTTTACGATTCTGTGCTAAATTTTACTAAATTTCAATAAAATTTATTGAAGACGACATTATATTTCTAAAAAAAAATCGTCTACGTAGGTATTTTAGAATAACAAAAAAACAGTTTAGAACTATTATTGGAATATAATTGAATATAATAAATTATTTTAAATTATTTATTTAAACTTTAATGTAGTTTATTAAATACAATAATTTTAGTTCATTTTTTTCGGCGTAAAAATAAAAACAATTGTACATCGTGCGTTAAACATACGTAATTCACGTCTATTCGAAAAATATTTTTAAATCATTAAGATATTTATTTAACTTACAAATGTTTGAAATGATTAATGGTGTTAACTTATATATTATTATTATTATGGTATTATCTATATATAGTTTTTTTCAGAAAATGTTGTTGTTCATATTTAATCTCTTATTTGTCTTTTTTGAACTCACTCACTCCAAACACACGCTATGCTAATAATTGGTGGGGTATCGTGTATGAATATTTTATGCTTTTATTTATTATTAAATATTATTTAATATAATAAATATAAATATTTTTATTTATTTATTTTTTGATTATTTTTAGTTCAGTTCTATCAAAGTAAAAATAAAAGTAATTGTACACCATGTGTTATATATTATATTCATATGAATATAGGTAATCATATATATTATTATTAAAGTCATCATCTCTACGTCTCCGCCTTGTATCTCAAAATGGGGTATCATATCTGACAAGTATGACAATAATAACGTGATGATCATAATACACAAATCATACCCTCATACACACACTTATATATACACTTGTATATAGATACAGGATGATTCACCAAGCATGATCGCTTTCGTTTTTCTTTTAATAATGAATTTTTTCTACCCCTTTTTATTGTAAAATATTGCGTAGATAATTTTTTTTGAAAATGTTGATGTCTTTAACTCAGAATTTGAATGAGTAGTTTTTCATTTATCAAGATATTTACACTAAGGATAATATTCCTTAAATGTGATTTCATAAAAACATAAGCTAATGAAATATTGGCTCTAGTATTTATTATACTTGGGATCATTTTTACAGATTATAAATGTTGATAGATTAATATTATTTACTACAATTTTCAAATCGTCATAACCCCCCTTCCCAATTCACATATCCACTATCATGAACCTGTTATCCCAAGTACAAAAACAAAATAATATAAAAACTATTCATTTGAATATAGATTTTGGACGTAAAATTTTTCAAAAAAATAATCCATTTATTCAAAAAACGGAAACTTTCATTTTCACGGAACGCCTTTTAATAGAACAAAATATCTCAAGAATTTTAAAATACAGTCTTTTAAACGTACACTATTTAAAAATTCCAAAATACCACATTATATAGAATAAAAAAACAGAAAGTAAGCTTGCTCGGTGAATCACCACTCTGTATATATTATAACACCACGACGTGATAAATATATTTATATCATATCATATACATGTGCGATGTACATGCCATGTCGTTACGACCGTATCTATTATATTTTTCGTCCGCAAACAAACAGATTAATGCATTATATAAGCGCTTGTGTATATATTTATGTGTGTGTGTGTGTACGCGCGTACAAGAGGCCGATAACGTCAGCGTGAGCGGTTTAATACGGAAGTGTTGCGCATACGTCGCTCCATTCTCATATCCTTTGCGAGCCGCAGCAACGGCAATGTCCGGTCTAAACGTTCGTATGTGTCGACCGTGCACCGTCGCGCCGCTAATGACCTGCCTGCCGACGCGCACGACAATCGCATCTACCTAGTATTATATATACTATAGAGTATAGAACCCGGGCATGGACGGGACTTACAGGGTTGAGGGGACGAGTCCTACACTATATATCGTAATGACGGCGTCGACGGCAGTTGGAGAATAGCCAAAAAACGGTTGTTTAGCCGATAAAAATCATGTTATTATTGCGTTATAAACAATTTTTTTCTACTTATATTTTCCACCCATACGCACTCCCCATGCCCACATAATATAGTTTACATAATATACGTACATAAATATTCTATATATTATATAATATATATCATCTCACCCTATTTCATATTTGTTATTGATTATAGATTCACTCATTGACGAGTATACGCCGAAATATAACGATATATCGCCATCACGTACGTGGATACGTTTAGATCTATACTATTCATTATTATGACGACGTATGCGGTGATTACTTTTTGCACCATGGTACTGATCGCGTTTCTCGCGTTTGGTACCGACGTCAGGAGTCTAGGATTGGTGTCTGCTGATAGAGAGGGACTGTCACAGATGCCGTCACTGTTTTCGTCGGTGGTGCAGAATCGGCAGACTTATCCAGGTGATAATCCGTTGGAACAGAGTTATGATTCCACGGGTGACAACAGTGATGATGATGACAACGATGACGACTTAGCTTATAATGAAGACAACAACAGTAAAGAGGAACGCGAAGATCAGCTGGACCAAGACGACCCAGGTAATTTCAGAGATTCAATTTTAAATAGTTCTTAGATACGCGATTGCATGCGGTACCATGTTGTGTGTTAGTGTATTATACGACGTTTTGTATATACGACGGACCTACGGATACCGTTAAAGCGTGCCAAATTTTAAATGACTTTTATTATATGATATAAAACAATATACCTATTACACTATGAAGGTAATATTAAAACAAATATAAGTATTCAGTAAAACTTAATAACTACATGCATACTATTTTACTGACTTATAAAGATGAGCGCTAACAGTATCCTTAATGCATCATTTACATCCATAAGGCACAGACGTTTGACTAATATTAAATTATGTATTAAGAATATATATATATATATATATATATATATATATGATAATATTGTACGTTAAATTTTAAATCCAGATCTAATTATACCAACCCCCTTATAAATTGAAATTAAATTAAAGATATTTTATTTTGAAACGTAAATGACAAAGGGATCCACAACAGCTCTTCAGTAATTTAAACTTGAATAAGAAAATATATTTTCTCGATATTATGAGATAAACTATGTCTTATTACATCAATAACTATTATTATCATTATAATTTATAAGTCATGTTTGGACGCGTAAAGCTTGTAGTATGTGGCTATTATATAGTAAACTAATTTAATAATGTGTTTACTGCAATGTCGTTATTCTATATTACTCTATAATCAAATTATTAAATTCTCCGTTCTTAAATAAGGTTTATAGTTTTACTAGATATTTTCAAATAATGCTGACAATGACATTAAATGCAGTTAACTGTTAAATTTTGAAATCATCACTGAGACGGTCAGAAATTTTTAATACCACGTGTGCTTGCCAAAAAATCAGTCACAGTCTAATTTCACATAGTTTTACATTCAAGATACGATAAATATATAAATGAATATCATACACTTTTATTTTAGAAATGCAAATTTTCTTTTAGATTTTCTTTGAAGTTCCAAATGGAAATTTCATCTAGTTTATATTAAGTTTGCCCGTATTTTAAGTATATATTTTCTATCACTTTTTTTTCGAAATACACAATAAATGTATTTACTAATAATAAAATTGCACAATCAATAAAAAGAAAGAAATAATATACTCATAAAACTTCAATATTTTTGTGATTTTTCATTTCAGTGATCTTAACTGGAAATAGCTTATTTTTGTGTAATATTTCTTGACATTTTTGATAGGTTAATAATCAAAATAAATCACACACAATTGATAATAGTAGTTATGTGAACTTCATAATGTATTAATTGAGATAATAATAAACATTTAAAATTAATAATTAAAAAATTAAAGTTATAACTACAATTATTAGTCGTAAGAAAAATTATTTATTTCGATTTTCATCCTTTATAAGATTTACTATGAATTAATATTGTTTAATACATGTTCCTACTGATGTGTTTTATTGTATGTGAGTGCTGCTGTGCTATATTCTAACATATATTACCTTTGAAATTAATTGGTTTTCACATATTTGGTCTTCTGAATTAGTGTGTATATTATACACTGAGATATTTTTATATACGTATTCCCGTTTCCTATACTATATACTTTTACTACCTACGCGTATATTTGCACTAAATTAGCGAACTGACGCATGTAACCGCATATATCCCTTTAAACCACTCTGTAGGTAGGTGTATTATATAATAAAATATAATTACATAGGTCCCTAACATATATTATGACGTTAGTATTATTTTTATTTTCCTTACTATTCATACTCTATAGCTATGCCTACATATCCGTATAAAACGTATGGATATTTTTTTTACCTACTCAAGCGGATTGAAGTAGTGTAAATAGACAAGAGAGCATCTGTATTAATTGTGTTTTCCAAACCTTTTCTTTATAGTATATTTCATAGTGTTAACCCATGTCGTTATATTGTATTTCTTTATGCATGCGCTGTAGATAATAATATACTTTTGAGTATAAAATTCGTGTTTTTATAATGTTTTATAAAAACTAATGTTTATCGCAGAACTGCGGGTGGAGCGATTCACGTGATTGCCGAGAATGAAAGTGTCGCGTGAAACAGTAAATAGTGCTTATAACCTTTTTCACTATATTATATTGTGCGCACATTCGATGTTATAGTATCGTAATCCCTGTACATCTAAGGTTTATAAGTGCATCATCAATCGCGTTAAAATAAAAAACAGGAGTTATATTCGGCAAATATATGTTGCATAGATACCTCGTCTCGTTTAGCCTATTCCTATAGCAGCATGACAGAAATTTCGTATGGTAGCGCATAATATATAGACATAATGAAGTATACGACGAATCCAATACCACACGCGGCATGAGCGCGATAAAAATAAACGGATTATTGTTTGTTAAACGAACCACTGTCGTACGCGTCGTAAACTACTAGAATAATGATAAAACTACGACTGTAGGGGTGGCGGCGCGGTGACGGTGACGAACCGAATGGAGTAAATACGTTTAACGTTTTCATAAATGTATATATATATATATATATATATATATATATAGACACAGGCACACATTTATATCTATAAACATATATGTATATATTCCTACACGTATAAACGTACGCGCCGAAGGCGAGTGGAGGTGTAGGAATCAAACAGAGGCGACAACTTACGTGTACGTAGGTCTATAGGTGCATAACGCCAACACGACGAGATATGTACGAGTCGCCGAATGGTGTGCGGGTGATGAGTGGAGGTGAAGGTTAGTTTATGTCGATCTACATCATCGTCGGCAGTCGCTTGATTGCCGAGTCGCTCTCCCGCGCATCGCCGATTTCATCCACCCCTTCCCCCATGCGACAGAATACCGAAAAGCAACGACGCGTACGTCAATATATATATATATATATATATATACATAACAATATACGGTTGCGGTGTGCGTTTTACATACCACCCGGCCAACTCTTTGCACACATATGTACAAATAAATAAGGCGAGGAACGATCGAGGACACGGTATATAAAATAATGCATGGAAAAACGTAAAATCCACAACGACGTGGCGGCATTTGTTGTTTGAAGTAAAAAATAGCGAGAAAAAAAAACTGCAAAATAAAAATATCATTATGTTATGTACATGCGCGCAGAGTACATAATTATTATCACGATATGGTGGCAGTAGCAGCAAACGTCGTCGCCTGGGGTAAATTAAAAGACGACAGTCGACGCGTCGTTTAAATGATCACTACGGTTTTTAGTCAACAACGTCCGGCGGCGAGAAGAGTTTATTATAATGTTTAATATAAAGAGAGAGGAGACCGCCCCGCTGATGTCGTATTTACTCGGTTATTGTTTGTGTTTCACGCGCGCGTGGAGTAGTAACGCGTTATTCGTATTCATGCATATATTTCGTATACAAATATCATACATATATTATATATGTTTATGTGTACACGTGGCGATGGAAGTGTTGATGATGGATGCGCTTTAGTATTCATAAGGCGCGAACGGGCGAGATGAAGGCCGGGCCGGGGAGAAAACGGCAAAGAAAACTTTTCGCGTTGCTTGTGGTGCGCGCGCGGGGGATCGGGAGCAAAAAAGCCGCCACCGCCGCCGCTATACGCGTACATGTTGTTATATTATTATGTTTCTTCGGGGGCCGCGTTATTATTCGGAACAACGACGCTGGTTTGTCAGACCGCGAAGATCGTTTCGACAGTCAGACCGCGGGCGCAGTCGGTGGGTAAGTAATTTAATAGTGCACATAAACATAATAGTACGGTGTATAATAATACAATATATGGACTGTACGCAGGAAGGTTTGTTGTTACTCGGGACGTGGCGGAACTGACAAAAAATAAATATCTAAACTTCGCGATAATCGCCGCCGAAACGGAGAGCTCCACAATATTATCAGAATATCCGGTCGCAAAAAAAAACCTACCCCATCGCATTTTCTGGTATTACTATACACATTTAGAACAGGTAGATTCCCACCGTGTATGGCGTCGATCCGGGACCGCGAGTCTGCTAAAACTTCGTCGTCTACCGCCACCGCAGCCGCCGACGAGGCGACGACTCCTGTGGGGCGTTGATTGTAATACGTTTTTTCTTTCGGCGAGCCGTCACTAACAGATGCTCACCTCGCGAAATATTTACGACGTCGCGGTGGTGTTGCGCCGCCCGACGTGCGCTGTATGTCTATTTCTAATATTATACCTATATATATATATATATATATATATGCACGACCATTATATTTTAATAATAATATGCAATCATAGTATCGAATATTATAATACAATATAATATAGCAATGGTGTCGACATAATTCTTTATCAAGTTTGAGTCCTGCAAACTAAACCACCACCGACACTACGATAGGCATTTTACCGCACAGTTTGTATACTATACAGCGCCCCGTGAACTAGCGCAAAATTTTGTTTGAGGAGGAAAATTATTTCACGAGCGCCCGCATATATACCTACCTGTCTACGTATACCTTCATACATAGGTGTATATATATATACACATACATACAATTATATAGATATATATATATAAATTCTACCGTCAGTAATGCGTGGAGGTAACCCGCATATTGTGTGCGTAATAACGTATGGGGGACGAACCAGAGAGAAGCTAGACGAAAATCAACACAGGGACATAGCGGCAGCGGCGGTTGATGATTAGTTACAAGCAGCGGTGAAAGACGTATAGTATGACTATGGTTATATTATTTATTTTTAAACGAATTATAGCGGTGTTCGGTCTAGCGAGTGGCATAGTCGATTTTATATAGACGACGAAAATAATATCAACTTCGCTCGTTCTGATCATCAAGGGTTGTTCGAATAAACGAGTTCATCTTGAACAACGTGTGCTATACTCACGATAAAGTAAACAGAATATTTCAATTGTCTACGCCAACGAATAAAAAGTTTATTTTCTTCCATGATAATATATATATATAAATATATATTTATATATTACATTATCACGTTTCGGTAGTCTGATATTTTTTTT